GGTATAGTAGGCCAAAACCTCCTTTCTAAGGAGAGGCCTAAGTCCAGCAGTGGACTGTTAAAGGCTGTTGATGATGACTTTTTTTTACAGTCTGGTGGTCTAGTGGTCAGCCATTTTAACTATTTCGATTCCCACCCAGGATAATTAATTGTGTGATAAGAAACTTGGCGTGGTGGTGTAAGCGGTCATCTCGCCGCTTCCTACTGCGCTGAGTGTTGTCGGTTCGATCCCCGTATGGAACAACACTGTGTGATCCACAAATTGTTGTTACTAGTCTGGGTGTTCTTTGTGTCAGGTCCGTGTTTGTAAGTTCCCCGCGACACCGGAAGATATTCCTAAGGCGGGAGTTGTCTTTTAAGAAGAAAATAATAATATGTATTTAGAAATATAGTATCAATCCATCATCAGCAGCCTATAACAGTCCACTGCTGGACATTTAGTATGTTCATGTGTAAATATATATGACAAGTTGATGACACGCTTGCAATAAAAATGTGGGCCTTTAAATTGCCTCTGTCTACCCCTACAAGATAAAGACGTGTGTGACACATGTTTGTATTTTTAGGATTACGAAAGACGGAACCCTTATAACATCACTTTGTTGTCCGTCTGTCTGTCTGTTCGTCTCTCAAGACCCGTATCAAGGTATCGAGTGGAAATAAAAACCATATACGAGTACACAGTTCCTTGAAGCTGTGAAAAAATCTGCTTCACCAAAGAAACATTTGTTTAAAATTTCACGATTCTAGACCCAGCGGTTTTAGCTGCGCGTTGATCGATCAGTCAGTGTGGGGCGAGTGCGGGCCAATCATAACGCCGAACGCGTTCACCGCTCACTCACAAATAAACTCACACTAAGCCCTCAGGAGGAAGGTTGATTCCATTACCTCTGGCTGATAGTCACAACTTAGTCACTTTACCGTAAACTATCTCCTCCTTTAATGGTGGGTGAGCAGGCTTAACATAATGATATACAATAAGGAACAGAGAATACCTTTCTTACCTAATTTGTTACTTGCCATAACTATTTATGAATAGTTTATTATATTCCGATATGGTACATCTTGTCTATTGCATTAACTATTGTATTATTCTATACCACATTCCTATCATAATTAAGATTTTATATTACTATATTGAAATATGTAAAAGAATCATACCTAAACTAAGCTGAGGGTACAATAACCCTGAACAATTAGAATTTAACAGGAAAATAATACAATAATCAGACATATGTTCAAATTCGCTAATAACGCGTATACACACATTTCCTCGTGTACTCAATAGAAATATTACATATGCCGTGGCTAAGAACAAAACAATGAATTAAAATATTAAATTTACTCAATTACTACTAATCTATATTAATATCATAAAGCTGAAGACTTTGTTTGTTTGGTTGAACGCGCTAATCACAGGAACTACTGGATCGAATACAAAAAAAAATTAGTTCCCATTTATCGAGGAAGGATACGTCCCGTTACGACTAAAAGGAGCCGAGAATCAATAAAAATGTTGCAAAAAGGTGGAAAGTTTATTCTTTTTGAGTCGAAGACGAAGTTGCGCGGGTCAGCTGGTAAATAATTAACAGGTTTCTAAACAAATCTGTTTCTAAACAAGTCCGTGTGGTGACGGATTAAGAATACAGAGTGTCACCACCCCTATTTATCCCGTGGGTGTCATAACAGGCGACTAAGGGAGCAAAATCCGCGGGACAGCACTACAGAGAGAGAAAAAACTTGACACAAACCCTTTTTTTTTTACGTGTGGAAACCCCCTCGGGCCGTCACCCCACCTGGGTTTGCAGCGGTGGTGTATCGGAATCGGACCGACTAAAACCACACGGTGTGCCACTCTGCGCCTGTAATAGGAGGGATCCGGGAACTGCTGTTATTAAGACATCCGGACCAACTTGACACAAACCCTATACCAACCCGTCCGGTCAGCATGGTGTAGTAGGCCAAAACCTCCTTTTTAAGGAGACCTATATCCAGCAGTGGACTAGTAAAAGCTGTTGATATTGATGATGAAACAAATCTGTTGGATGCAAGCAGCACAGGGCCGGTTGTTGTGGCGACCTATGGGGCAAGCCTATGTCCAGCATTGGACGATTGAACAGTTGTGATGATGATGAAACAAACATCTCAACGACAATTTTAAAAAAGTCAGCTAATGTTTTTCAAATGCGAGTGCCGTGTACCTCGCTAAATCACACGAAGGTTGACTAGCAGGTGGCGTTGTAAGCCCGTCCGTATTAAAATATAAACGTGAAAGTAAGGTCATGTTCAGTTGAGGGGCGTAGAACGCGCCTTTTGACGTCATAGGTATATACATGAATTTCTTCAAAGCGTTTAAAAGCCAACGTTCTAGTCCCAACGTCTAAAATATTGAGGCTCACTCTTTGAAATCATTTCACGCGCCTTTTGACGTCATATATACATACTTAAATTTCCTCAAAACGTTTAAATGACAACGCTCTTTTTTTTTACCTGTGGCAACCCCCTCGGACCGCCACCCCACCTGGGTTTGCGGCGGGGTGGTGTGTCGGAATCGGACCGACCAAAACCACACGGTGTGCCACTCTGTGCCTGTTATAGGAGGGATCCGGGAACTGCTGTTATTAAGACATCCGGACCCCTCCTAGCGTCTGCCCGCAACGGCGCAGGCACCACCTTCGGGTACATTATCTATTTAGGCGACGTCCGGCACACGCAGACGTCACCTGCTCGCGGCTGGCCGTTATGGCGGGTGGAGGGGAAAACCCGTCTTGTCCACCCGCAGCCACACTCAGTGGTCGTGGGTTTGATTCCCATTCAGGACATACATTCATATGATGAACACGATCATTTGTTCAGTGTCAGGTCACTGGTTTACAGAACTACTTAACTCAGTACTGGGCGCAGTTTACGGCACCAGCTCTTTGAGTTAACGTAAACTTAAACCGCCGAGCAATCAAATTAAACGTGTCGACATAACAGCATGCGGCGAGATTTGTACCGAAAAAATGAAGCTGTCGAGTGAAGCTGTGTATTGTGCTATCATATCTTGAGAAAATCAGTCAACTCAACAAGCTAATCTATTGGACTCGTTTAAATAAATTATATTAACTATAACTTGAGAATATTAGGATCAATTCAGAAAGTACACACACATATTAAGTATTATAAAGTCTTATTTCAATGTAAGAGTTAGAAATATAACAAATGTTTTTTTCATAGTTAGGTAGTTACATACAAGTGAAGCTAATTGTTAAATAAAAATTACTATTATCCATTTAGTGTTTCATATCTATATATTTACTAGCTGACCTGGCAAACGTTGTTTTGTCATATACAAATATATTATATATATTTTATTTTTTTCTCAATCAAATAGATTCTCAGACCTACCTGATATGCACACAAAATTTCATAAAAGTCGATACTGCCGTTTCGGAGGAGTTTGGTAACAAACACTATGACACGAGAATTTTATATTTTAGAAAATGTTGTTGGTTTTACAATTTACCACATACAAACATGGCAGGGTACAGCTAGTATTTTATGTTTATTTTATTACATACCTACATAACTAGTCTTCTGTCATCACTCATCACACTAATATTGTAAGAGAAAGTTTGTGTATTTGTATGATTGTTACAGACTTCACACTCAAACGGCTGGATCATATTTGGTAATTTTTGGTATGGAGGTAGCTGACACCCTGGATCATCAAATTGACTAGGTACACTTTATCCCGAAAAAATGAAGTGGTTCAGTGGGATGACCAAGGTTCAACAACAATAGCTAGAATCATATTTATAAAAAGCATCTGTCTGAACATAATCAAACCAAAAAATATCAAACAAGCTTCCGAATAGTTTTCTATGTGGATAGAGTGTTTCATGAGGATATCTTAGTGCTCTAATATCAAACCATGATTATTGAAGATGTTGAAAAAACTGACTAGACCAGGAGCTGTACTTGTATACATTGTTAAACTAAAGCAGATATATCACAAAGAAAGATCTATTGAGTATTACAAAAATAAACAATAGCTGCATATATGCTCTTCTAACCTTGCGGAGACAGGGCGAGTAGCTACCGCCAGTGCACCAATTATCTTATGTACATGCTTATAATTTATGAGAACCCTATTGATGATGATGATAATGAGTCTCCAAAATACTTTTTAAAGAATAAACAAAGTTTAAACTTATTTTTTTATTTAATTCAGGTACACAAAGCAGGACTTAGTATAGTAAGGTTATAATATAACACTAAAATTTTAAATTAGGTGTATACAGTATGATCACATAACACTGTCGCTTATCTTTATTAAAAAAAAAACAATTAATAATAGGTAATTGTTTGTGGTTTAGATTACTTTATGTAGATACAAGTCAGTGCATTCTTTCCATGCACATTACTAAGGTGCTTTAAAAAAATAAAAATAAGTAAGAAGTCAAGATACCTTAACACAAGATCAATCAATCATCTCTCTGTATAAATATTAAATATCTGATCTATACAAAGTAGATCATATCTCTTAATTCATAGATTTCTATAGCATTTCTTATTGTCACTCTCTAGATGCAACTGCACTCAGATATGCAGCAACATGTGCACACCACATGTTTTAGATCCAATCTTTTTATTTTAACATGAAGCTAAGTTTAAATGACATTTTTTAAGTTAATTAATGTTAAAAAGAAATCAAAAATATTAATAAATTACTGTTGACTGATGGTACTTGGTGGAACTTACTACACATGTTGAATTAAGTCAATTATACTGTTCCACATTATTATTTATTGAATCTGACCTGTTTCACCTCACAGCCTTTTCAACGGGTATCATTTATTGTAGAACAGTACAAGTGACTTAATTCAGTATGAGTACAACTTTAGTAAATATGTACCTACACATTTCTTACCATGTTAATGTAAAACTGACTAAACAATATCAGAAATGGAATCCATTTAAAACCATGGATTTTTACTGAATATATAGACATCTTACCTGAAATGTAATCCCCTCTATAAGGGAATCATGTACGGTAACACCTGTAACCAAACAACACTGTCGTTAATTAAATTAGTAATAAGGCCTCGTCTTGTTTAACTAATGACTTTGAACCATTGAGAACAATTTTATAAATACAACATATTCATTCTGGCAGCATATTTACTAAGCTCACAGAAGTGACAGTTTTTTTCATCAAGTAGTGGGGGTCACAATATGTGCGCATCTGGTGTTGTGTCGCGTGTGGAAAACACATTTGAAATAATAGTTAGCCGGCTTCTAGCATTACGATACTACAGCGATACGAAAATATCCATATACACAAAATGAAAGAAAAACGACAAACAAATCCACCTCGTCCCCGATCTAAAATAAAATCACCGCACACTGCCGCCTCGCTATGACCGACCCTGCCAACTTATTGTTGCTATTCCACATGCCACAGCTTTTAATAGTATTATACTCTTTGCAATTACAGTGCTACGGGACACTAGGAACAAAACAATAACATACTTTATTTTAATATAATCGATCTTACCATGGCTCTTTCCCTGAGCTGACAGCTTAGTGTTCAACGATATATCCAATAAAGTCAATATAAATACATAACACCACACTATTTTACGATACATATTTGTGCAACTGTGGATTGCAAAAATCACTGTTTATTCACATTTCTCAAAACAATTCGATATTTTTATCACATCAGTCAACTCACGAGACGTGCGTTCGCGAAATCGTGATTGACAACAGATAATATAATACAGAAGGAAGCAAGGAAAGCAACTCCCGAGAAGAATTTGACATTTACTTTACCTTACATTACGTTCGGTCGGATATTCGCAGCAACTACGTTTAAATTGAGATGAGTTAGAAAAAAACTGATACAACGCTTCGTAGAATCAATTGGAGTCAAAGTGGAAAGTTTTTTAAAATGAGATTATGTTAGTTTTTACATAATAAAATAAAAAATAAGGCACCTTTTTAGCCTACAATGTTTTAATAAAAGACATGAGGTAAAAGACTTGTATGCAGACAGACAGATTTTTAGCTTTTTTACAAAGGCTGTATCTGAAGATAGTTATGTATTTTCATTTTATAATTCGTCGTTAAACGAAACAATAAGATTTCGCTTGTTTAAGGTATATCCCATTTAAGTGACTTGTATTTTTTAACTTTAATAAATATATGCAGTGTTTTTGTAATTACTGTTCAATTTTACATAATTAATAGAAATCGTCTCTATGGTTAAAATTAATATGTATAATTTTATCTGTATTTGTAAACAGTTCCATTTTCCGAATAACAAAAAGAGATTGAGCAAAATATATTTACCTGAGATTTTTTTGTATATACACACGCTTCAAACTTTCAACCCCTTCAAACCTCCTCTCAAAAAGGAAATAAATAAGGCCTCAAGATTTCGTCACTGGAACATCTGTTTACATGTCTGCGAATGATAGAAATGAATCGTGAGGGTGAGCAATGTTATTTAATCAGAGCTATTATGACGCTAAGATGATTATTTAGGGCTAATATTGTTTATGTACGTTTTTGATGATAAAGTGGTGAATGGTACACAGAAAACGACGCGCACCATGACAACCGCGAAGAAGACGGTGGCAGTGGCGGTGGTGGAGCTAACGGTGGCGATAATGAGCCTGAGGGAGAACTGTACGACCTAGCGCTGGCTACCGTACATTCTGTAAGTTTTAAATTACCAATTGAGATTCTTTGCATATCCTAGACTTAAGGTAAGAACTAATAACTTATACATAAAAATATTTATGTATAGACACACATTTTAATTTATCTATTTAGAGTAGACTCCATAAAGACCTATTTCTTAGCGTCCCATGGATGCACCGTGCGGGTGCCGGGTCTATCGCGTGATAGATGCGAGGACACATGTGTTAAATGTGGACTTTAAGGATGTTCGTTTCCCATGGCATTGTGAGTTCTACTACTACTACTACACATTTAATTGAAATTGCATAAAGAAATATGTCGGGTCTGGATGCCGAGGCACAGATATCCTGCGGTATTCTGTAACAATTTTCATATGTGTCCACTAATAATGGCCAGTGACTGGCGGTTCTTATAATTGAGTATGGCTTTTGTTGAGCCTTCCTTCACCACTGCGATGTTAGTTCTTATGTTTGTTGTTTTACCTATTTCTGCACTGTACATGGTACAAGCTTTTTTCTGAAACTTCCAACCTTACCAGGTTGCTTTGATCGGGAAGAGTCAATTGCATGCATTTTGTAGGTCTCGTTTTCATCTTGTTGTAGGAAAGCTTTTTTATCTCCTTGTCAGTCTGTCTTCTAGCACCATGAATTTCTTGTGGAATTGGAGCCGTGACTCGAGATCTGATGATTTTTTTTTCTTTTGGAAAGGATGTAACCATTTAGTCTTGTGATTTTGACAAGACATGCATTTTGGTAACTCTTAGTTTTTTGTAGAGTTCCAAAGGTCTTTTAATTTCATTCCATAGTTATTCGAGCCCCTGTACAATGTTGCAACTGTATCACAACATACTTGTAGTAACAAATTCAATTTTTATTGGAGCTGTCACTAATCTTTATAATAATAAATTGTTAATATAATAATAAAATGAAGGTAATTGATTAAAATGTCTGGCAGCGGAAGGATGCGGATTGCCCAAGACCGCGAGGGTTGGCGCTCCTTGGGAGAGGCCTTCGTTCAGCAGAGGACGGCAGTGGGCTGATGATTATAATAAAAAGTGGTGTAACATACAACTGTCAAATGACATTTCACAACATAGTGTAAAATGACAAGTAAAAAAATAATTAAAATATTAGGCATTAATTTATAGTTATCATGTACATAGCAGTAGTAACATTTTTCAAAAGTAATTCATCCATATACATATATATATATTATATGACAACCCAATTATATTTATGTATGTAATACTATACTTTTTTCTTTTTTATATATATACTTTTTTCTTCCTCTTTTTTAACCAGTGTGGTGATTTCTTACCGGTGTTAGAGCACTGGTAAGAAATCCTGTGTACAAACATTAATGAAGTGGACACAAAGAACACTCAGACTCAGAACAACAATTTTTAGATAATTCAAACTGTTGGGAACCGATCACAACAATCAGCGCCAAGGTTAAGGGAATAATTGAATATATTTTGTTACATGGCCGTAGTACATAAGCGCGGGCATGATGCCGTTGCGTGGTCGCGCCGTGCTGGAGCCGGGCTGGCAAGGCCGCGTGCCCGTGATGGCTCACCACAACTGCGTGTTCCCGGGCGAGACGATGCCCATGATGATGCGGCACGCTAACGACGCGGTACTCATCGCGAAAGCCATCAGACACAACAAACTCTTTGGTCTGCTCTGCCCTGAGTAATTATTTTTCATTATCTAATTATTTAACAAAAAAAATACATTCTTATATTTATCTCATCAGAAGACGGATGGAGCTGTAGCGGCGTCGGTTTTATTTATATTTTCGGGTACGAAGAATCGAGTTTATTGTAAACTACTTGTGGCATAGGAAGGCAAACAAACAGACAGATCAATGGTGACTACCGCCACCCATGGACAGATGAAACTCATGAGACACGAGGGAGTTGCCACCCTTTTCAATGCTATATTTCAGAGTCAGTTTGATAGTCTGGAAGCTTTACTCACTCGGTGAAAAGCAAAGAAAACATCACTTAACATGGCTCTTTGTGAGGCTGGTGTACATACATTCTATCACTGTCACTCCGGTGTGGCCTTCTTACCGTTAACAATAATTTGTTCCAATTGAGTTGTTGTTGTTGTTAAGTAAAGTTCGACGACCGGATGGTATCGTGGTTTGTGTAACGGATTGCTATTTCAAAGGTCGCGGGTTCGATTCCCGCTCAAATCAAACATTTGTGTGCATCAACATTTAGATAATGTTTGACTTGGTCTGGGTGTTTCTAAGTATAATAAGTATGTACTCACAAAAAAAAAGAATATATGTATTACTATCAGTTGTCTAGTAGCCATAGTACAAGCTCTGCTTAGTTTGGGACTAGATGGCGTTGTATGAATGTGGTAAAAAAAAAGTTGCCAATAATACTATTTTTATTTGATTTGAGGTTGATTAATGCAACATTAGCTAATTATTAAAACTCTTGCCATGCACCTTGCAGTCTTGCCATAAATATTGTTACAAGTTTTTTTTTGTCCAAAACATTTATTAATGTAATGTGTGTTAGTTTATATATGAATACATGTAGTAGCATTAAAAATATATGCAGCTCATTGAAAATGGCTTTAATACAGTCCTATAAACGTTGAGGCCAGTTATCAATAGAAAGACGCATTCTCTCCATAGGAATAAACTGGGGTCTTCACTGCAAAACTTATGGATGAATAAGGGTTTGTGAATACAAGTTTGATAAAGGTATCCGTAGCCTTAATCACGTCCCCCCTGGCCTCATAGCCAAACAGCAATATTTGGAGATCTGAAAAAAATCACGGAAGTGGCATATACAACGAATTTAAAAGGAAAGCTATCACTAAGTAGGCTTTATAGGCCGCCGAAACCGTAAATGTGAAATGTTCATAATATGAAATAACAAAACGCCCTTCTCTTATTTATGTTGTAGTAACGTACTAGTTCGCATTATTGTGATAGGTAGGTAGGTACATTGCGCGTGGCTCGAGACGCACTTGGCAGGTTTTTGAAAATATCAGTTAAATAATGACCAGTGCGTAGTAGGCTACAAATCCTATGTCATCTTTAGAATACGTGCCATGACTCTAAGTGCTATATTCATTTACCGAAATAAAATCGTTTGCTTTCGGACACTATTTCTTCGAATTCTTTCCTTCACTGCTTTGATCGCCTTTTTTGTACGAATACTACATGGACAGCCAGATCTTTTTCTGTCACAAACATTTCATTGTACCTTTCAATAACCCGGTACACAAACATTCGACTAATACCAAGCGGATGGAGAGTTGCACAATAGTATTTGGCTTCATACCTACTTTGTGTAACGCTATCACAGCAATTCTTTTCGCTTCACCTTCACCCGAAAATGAGAAAACAATGAATATTCATATAAGAATGACAGATTCCAAATAATATAATATAGTATTTCTTATTGTCATAGTATTTATGGCCAGACTGAGTACCTATATAAAAAAGTTTCTGGAAGCATTATTTTATTAGACACTTTGCTTTGTTCATACCGACTTGTAAAAATATCTGAAAAGATTTACTTACATAAATAAATTTCATTTCATACAGTTCGATGCGATTTAATGGCGGCTCTGAACATCGTGCGTTTCGATGCGCAGAACACAATAATAGACAGCAGCGGGACATTAAGGAGCGCGGCGACATATTAGATTAATAGACGCGCATATTCCTGTCTTCACACAGTCGAGTCGACTTGACTGTAGGTACCTGTCAGCTAACTTCAGAGCCGCCATTGAGTTAGTTCTTGTTTCCCAGCAGAGTTATTTAAAATCATGTCTCTAGAGTTTTTTTATTAAATATGTGTTTGCAGTTGTTTTTGATACCAAAATAATCTTTGCACAGTGCGACGGGCAACCTGGTATCGGGATACGGTGTGCTGTGCGAAGTGTTTGAGGCTGGGGCGGAGGAGGAGTTAAACGACCTTCCAAAAATCAGTTCTTTCAAAGCGCGCGCCCTTTATCGCTTCCGTATCCTGAACTTGCCGAAAAAGTCTGTGGTAATCACCTCTTTTAACAGGTAACTCAACTTGTGGATTTAGAGATCTAGATAGGAAATAGTCTAGGTGATAAAACTTAGCGTCTGATGGTCGGACCGCGATTAGACAAGCGTAGTGTAGGGCGACCTGTGACTTGATGCGGACTATCCAAGACCGTGATAGTTGGCATTTCTTGGCGGAAGCCACCGTTCAACAGTGGAGGGCGATAGGCTGATGCTGAGATTAATAAGCTCCTATAATGGCTTGTTCGACTTACACCTATGTGACTTTGGCCACGTCGAGATATTGTTGACATCCCCTAATCTAACTGTATGAGCAATACTTTTTGTTACCTTCCCTTGTCTCCCTTTCCTTTCAATATGCTCAGAGTATTCTTATCTAATCGTTAGATGGTTGACAATAAGCTTAGTCTGTATTACGTTTGTGATATGTGGGTGGGCCTATCTGTGTGGTGGCGAAATAAGAATACAGAGAGAATACAGAGTGTCACCACGCCTATTCATCCCGTGAGTGTCGTTAGTCGGCACTAAGGGAGGAAACTGTGCAAGACAATAGCACTGCAAAAAGAATTAAAACTTGAAACAAACCCTATACCAACCCGTCTGGCATGCGTGGTATAGTAGGCAAAAACCTCCATTGTAAGGAGATGCCTATATCCAGCGGTGGACTGTTAAGGGCTGTTATGATGATGATGGTGGGCCTTTATACACACAAATGAAATAGTGTGAATAGAGCAATAAGTCGTCATAATTTGTCCGAACACAGCTACGAAATGCTAAAACTGTAAGGATAAGAAGGGCATTTTCTGTCTGATAAAAATAAATATATAATTTGAAGTTATTAGCAAAGCAATAGTTCAATACACATACACCTGGCCTACTCGAGTTATCTTTTACACTTACCAACCCATTCGTATCACCAATAACTCTTTCTCATCTTAGCAACCTTTAACTTTTATATAAAACGACCAATTTGCCGCTATAATACCTAGTGTTGGCGTTAAAAAGGATTAAAATTATGGTTAGTGGGCGTTGAATATACCTGCCTTTCCCTTCGGAGATACAGCCGTGAGTGGACATTGTTAATGAATCGTCATCCCTTGACTGCCTCGGTGGTGCAGTGATAGCGTATGCCACTGCTGTGCTGAGGTCTCGGGTTCGATTCCCGTGTCGGATAAAATGTTTGTATTATCTGCATATATTTTCTTGCGGCGTAAAATAAAGTTTATTTTCAATATTAATACATAGTTCGTAGTTACAAAGACAAAATATAACCAGGTAAATTACTTATGTATGTTTGTAAAAATCCACTATGTTCATTTCAAAAGGAGCAGTGTCACTTAAACTAGGTAAAACCTGTTACTTAAACAACAGTTTTTCGGTCGAAAATAAAAGTGTATAAGTATTCTATCAGTCAATATAGCTTTCATAGTACAAACTGTGCTTAGTTTGAAACTAGATGGCGTCGTGTCAGATGTCTGAAAATATGATTGTTTTCCACATGGAGGATGAAACTGGTGGACGTGACGGTGCTGCCCGAGGTGGCGACGCGCGACTCGCTGTGCACCATGCGCCTGCACAGCCTCGCGCCGCTGCAGGCGCCGCACCACACCTACACGTACGTTCCTCTACATTCTATACTGGCTACATATTACCTATTATAGTTTCTGTTGATCTTATTGGGGGCAACGAGCAGACGGTTTACCTGATGGTAAGTAACACCGATATGCTTTTAGTCCACGATGACACGGCTGAATTTTGATATTTTACTTAGAGCGACTGCCATAAGACCTCCACAACCCAAGTGCTAGACGATATCGAAATTCTTTAGATAGACTGTCATATTTTTTTAGGTATCCAAATACTCTTAACGATTACCACAGATCTTCCATCCATCCATAGACTGACCTGTCTGGGATTCCTGGACTTTGCAATGTTGACTATTCGGTTACCACTTAGCCATAGGCCCCTCATGTTAGCGTGAGACGCCGTAAGTATTTCGCTATAAGTTTATGGTGTTGATAGAGTAAGGTGGCTGTGTGTCAGGTCGGGCGGTGCGCAGGCGCGGCGCCTGGAGGCGAGCTCGTCGCCGTGGCCGCCCTTCGTGCACGACATCTTCAACTACCAGCGCCTGCGCAAGTCCATACAGGACTTCTTTACCTCTATCAAAATTGGTATGTGTGTTCTTTATAATGACAATAAAGCCGTCAAAATGACGGGCCGCCGCTCGACTGGCCAGGGCCTCAATTCTGCTATTTTATGTTAACGCCGAGCCACTGTCATTCCATTGACCACGCTATTGAGATGCCATTGACGTCGGTCAAAATATCGGTATTCTACTTACATAAAATCACAGTGTCAATGGACTGTCGATATAGTAATATAGGTCTTCAATGTTGATATCAACAACATTACCGTACTTGGAAAATTAAATATATCATTTTCTTACAAATTTAAAATGTACCGTTTACCAAACTGTTACAAAGATATCTAAGATATTTGTATCAATGACAAGTCATCGGGAGGCCATTGGTCTTACATAGTTAGTAAAATAGGAAAAGTGCAAAACTATTCCGACGACATTCCATCGACAGTCTATTGATACAATATTACGATAGCAGAATTGAAGGTCTGGTCTAATGGTTATAGACAAACCGCCATAAGCTTGGCCCTTGCGATGGTTTGCGGGACGCGGGGCGGGTGATGCGCTCGGCTATACACGACACGGTGTACTAACTCGATATCTTCAGATTTATTTGTTTGATATAATAAAAATAGAATTTATGTATTATATTTTCAATAAGTTTTTATGATTCATGATAAAATTTTAATATTGTACAATAATTTTAATAAAATCCAAGTTTACAGCGGGTTGACTATAGTAACCCTGATTACTAATCAGGAGGTAGTGGGTTCGATTCCCTTCCAGGACAAATAATTCTTATTTTATTTAAGTTTTTCAATAAGCTGGTAGTCTTAGCGGCCGAGGTTATAAAATATATTAACGTGAGCGAGGTTTATTGCTCTGTAGTGTATCAGTGTCATATGTGTACAAATACAATACGCATCGGATGCTGTGTGCAGACAAGATGCCGGACGACCCGGTGTTGCTGTCGTTCATGGTGGCGTCCAACCTGGTGCTGTCGTTGGGCGACTGCCTCGCGCTCTTCGTCGTGGACAACGCGCTGCTGCGCCTGCACCTGGCGGTGGGCTTCATCAAAAGGGTACGCGCCAACCGCCCGCACCTCACTGTCTCCCGTATACTCTACGTCTCCTCATCCATGCCTTCATCTTTCAGAAAAATACGCTGTGCTGTTTGTCGTGCTTGACGGAGATCACGGATAGAAACCATGTATTCCCCATGTCCAGCGAGGGCGTCACGGGCAATTACGTGAACCTCGGTGAGCATTATACACATATGAACGTATGTTATAATAAATTACACTTTTTACTTCGGCGAGTGCAAAGTTTTAGTCATTGAAGATGATTAATTTCACATTAAAGACTAAAAAGGAACACGTAAGCTGTTGAAAATTAAGGGTAAATTTCCACGTAAAATCTGGGTAGGTACGGAACTTACCGGTTTTTTAACGCACATAACCGGTTTCTGTAATTTATACAAATAAAATTACTTGCCTGGACTGATTCGTCATCAGAAAACCTAAACAAACTTACCATTTGGCAGCCAATATTTTTCATAAGCACCTACAAAGTTTTTTTTTGGAAATTACACTCCCTAAGGGGATAAAATAAGAGATGAACGGTTGTACGGTATTCCGTCATTTTCAAAATTAGATACATGAAATTAGAAATAATCCAGCAAAAAAAGCGCCTATCAACATCTGGTACTTCATAAACAAATGAGAAGAAAAACAGGTGAATAGAAAGAATAGAAAACTTAATCGACTCTTCTGTGTTAACCTATGTTAATAATGTTGGTCTACGGGCCTGTTGGTCTAGTGGTTAGTGGCCCTGACTGCTAAGCCGGGAGGTCGTGGGTTCGATTCCCACTCAGGACAAATATTGTGTGATGAGCACGGTCATTTGTTCTGTGTTTGGGTGTAATTTATCTATAATATGTTTATCAGCAGTCTGGTTACCATAGCACAGGCTCTGCCTAGTTTGGGATCAGACGGCCGTGTGTGAGATGTGTGAGGTTATTATTATTATTATTATTAATTTTAAACGATTCGGTTGCTATCTTCGTCAAGTGTTGTTCTGGGTATCTGCAGGTGGACACGTGCACGACGTCCTCACCGTGCGCGAGGTCCGCAACGTGAACCTGAGCGGCCTCCCCACGGATGAGTACTCCTGGTTCCCCGGATACGCCTGGACCATCGCCACCTGCGAGCACTGCGACTCTCACGTCGGCTGGAGGTACATCAACCACTATTCTAAACGGGCTTTTTAAAACGTCTTCATGATCTTTCATTTAATTTATTTAGTTTGGACGGGACTGTCGGTCTAGTGGTTAGTAAACAGGAGGTCGTGGGCTCGATTCCCACCCAGGACAAATATTGTGTGATGAGCATAATTTGTTATGTGTATGGGTGTAATTCATCTATTATATGTAGGTATTTATTTTCAAATATAGAATAATTATGTTAATAAGCATGCTGGTTACCATAGTACCGGTTCTGCTTATTCTGGGTTTAGACTCCGTATGTGAGATGTTCAGTTGTTGTTATGACCCCTACCGATACCCCTCAGTTTACCTATAAAAGAAATAAATCTTTCTTGCCAATAACTCTTCTTGTTACTTGCCTTTCTATTTTAACATACCTCGAATTTTGTATATTTTTTTTGTGGATGGCTTTCAATTAAATTCTAATTTCTTTCATTTATTCAAATACTTTTGTCCGTGTTTATTCCTAAACTAAGATGGCACCTTTATGTAAAAACTCACAACTGTCAACTTTCTTAATAACAACATGTAGGCCAAAACCTCCTCAGGAGAGGCCTATGACCAGTAGTGGCCTGTTAAAGGCTGTCGTGTGATGTGATGTGTGATAAACAGATTCGAGGCGTTAAAGCCTACGCTCCGGCCCCAGCGGTTCTACGGACTGTGCCGCCACAACCTCCAGCCCCACACGCGCCAGGACGCGGGCCCCGCGGACCGGAACTGACTCTCCCGCTCACACTACGAGGTGTATGGGACGGGAGCCAACTGATGCATATATTTATATATTATGGTGCTGTGGTCGGTCTACTGACGTCACAGCTCCAAATATGACGAGGTCCGGTTGCTAAGCGCAGCCTCATTCGTCTCTGCAGTGGAGCCATAGTGACGAAAAGCTGTTGCATGCGATGGATACACTCGATATGAGGTTGTTAGGTATAAGATATATTGTTATTAAAGATGTCCGACTTGTTTTAGGACCGACAAGGGTCCTTTAGAAATGTTATGTCATATTACTTGTATAGTACTGACGCGTCAGGTCGCTTTACTACTTTGATAAAGGGCCCCAGTTAAACCCGAAAGCAGTCGTTCATCCCCGAATTATAGATGTTAGTGAAATGATGTATTTAGACGATAAGTCATAAACCACAAAGTCAGATTGGAAGTTAGGTAAGGTATAATATCCGATTCTAGAACTTGTTCTATACCACAGTCGAACACCGACACACGCTCTGTCTCGGTGATCGAGGGTGACGAGTAACCGCTACTCCTTAAGTACCTAACACTCTAAGATTATTATAATTGAATTGATGTGTCTGTTTTTGTTTTTATCACTATAATAATAACTTTTTACCTAATCTCATCGCTTACCTGGTACTTATACAAAAATATTTTCAGATTTTTACTAAGGATTACTATTTTTTCCTAAATAAACTTCGAAGTTTATGCTTAGAAATGATCATATATTTTACAACTAATTCATCCAATGCATGTAAAATTAATTACTACAGTTTACTAAGTAAATGTGCTCAAAGATCGGGGTGGAGACGCTGTTAGGTAAATGACAGGTTCCTAGCTAATACCGAACACAATTGTCTACAAGTACAAGAACATTAGTACCAACAAACTGTATATAAATGTTGGTTTTACGTTAAAATAAATATTAATTAATTAATTCACTCATTCAATGGTCTTGTAAGTCTCGACTGTTAGAACATTCAAGTGGAAATTGACTTAACTATAGTTTATTGTTAATTTTTCTTACAATTAAAGTAGTAATTATTATTTTCTAGTAAATTTTAAATGCTCAATGCTCCTGTTCAGCGGGATATGACTTGACGAATTGAAAAATCAAAATCAGTTTTTTTTTTAAGGATGTTATTAAAACTTAATGAAATGTTTTGTAAACTTGAAATGGTTTAACCAATTACATATTTGTAAGTAAACATATATATATAATATTGAATACTCTCATATATAAACAATACTTTCTGAATGCAATACAATAAAATATCATAAAATGAATCATATATATTGTAAGTACGTGTCATTAGTTTTACGGGTTCTTGTATTGTATTTAATTGTTAAATCAATAAATATCTGTCAATATGTGAATATTATTTATTATTAACCTTAAAAACTACCTTTACCTGTACCTTTTTGTGTATATTGTTTTATTGTGGTGAGAAATAAGTGTTACCCTCAACTATTAAAACCCCCTCCACATTCCTCACTTGTCTCTTGAATAGCAGGTGTCTATGGGCGGTGGAAGTTACTTACCATCAGGTGACCTGCTCTGCTCGTTTTTTTTTTTTTTATGGAAGCGGTGGCAAACGAGCGGACGGGTCACGTTATTAAAAGTGACTACCACGTTAGGCGTTGGCTTTTGCGACGCTCTACTTAATTTAGGAGAGGTTCCTACTTCGACAATTTGCAGAAGATTACGCAACATAGCTGCAGTTTCAATTTGTAACATAATGCTTCCTGTTTTCCTTTTTTGTACATATATCTTTTGGTGCCCCCAATTGCGAGAGGTCAGTCGAAAATTGTTTACATCGATGGGATCCTTCCGAAGACTACGCAATTTCCTCCCAACGACCACTAAAATTGCGCAATCCCTCCTTCCTATACTCGGCTATGCGGATGTCAGATATCACGGAGGAGCAACTCGATAAACTTGAAATAGAGAGAAAAAAGGAACATTACCTGACATTAATTCAATTTATTATTTACAAAACATATTCTATCTGTTGTAGTCCTCTGTAGTGGAAATGTAGATTGTATTTGTTTATTTGTGATGTATGTATTTATTTATATGTTTTTCAGATTGTTTTTTATGTATATATTTATATGTATTAACGTGTATTTATATAAGTAGGTACGTATTGTTGGACTGAATTAAAATCAATACTAGTTTGTACATTGTTGTACATACATTTTATCAATAGTGTATAAATATTTTATGATTCTTTTACATTTTTTCATACCAAAACTGCCTATAAATTATTATATCTACAGTCTATTTGTCAATCCAAAGGTAGCCTGAAAAAAATGCTTTTTACAGGTAACCGTAAGCCGCCATTTCTACATGGTCATTAACTTTATATACTCCTGCATGTATGATATACTAAACTGGCGTACAATATAGCTTATTCTAATCTATTCTATATATATATATAAGAAAAGTCAATTATTCTGAAAGGTATAGTGTATTCTTAATAAACTATATATACTGCAGATATACTGAGTGTCCATGTTATTCCCGAGGTATGTCGGGGCACCAGGGACTTCCTTTCTAGGGTATACCTGGTTCCCCGGCTATTATTACCCGAGACGGCGTGCGGTTTTAGTCGGTTCGAGTCCGACATGCCACCGACAGGTGGTATCAGAGGGGATTTCCGCACGGAAAAAAAAAAAAGTGTCCATGTTATTGTAGGCGGCAGACAACACAGCTCTGTTCATATAGTAAGGTACTAATCACGGGTAGCCACTCCGTACGAGCTGTCCACACCCAACACCATGCTCTACCTCTTGAGTTGGCTTGAGTTTCTTTCTTTTCTTCGCCTTTGTTTGTTGTTTACCTGGATGCAAATAAACATTAGTTTTCAATTATATCAGAAAAAGCCAAGAAGGCGGTCTATCTGTCTTGCTTTTATGGACAATATACAGTATCTTGATCTTGCACGAAAGATGCGTTTGCAAACGGTGCAGAAATGTCGGTTGATTTGTCTGTCGGCGGATATTTAGATCATATTGAAAAATTTCCGTATTCTGATTATAATATTTGATATTAGACTTAGCTTTTCAAAGTATATAATTTTATTTCACATATATTATTGCATTGTTTGAACCTTTGCATTGAATCGGGGGGCCCTGTCCAAGACGAGCCAAACGAAGCTCAAGAGCACTACCTTTTCTCGAAGCGCTGCGTCGTTTTTGTATCATAACTGGAGTTTGCAATATCTTATATAGTAAAAAATAAAGTCGCTTTTTTGTATTGTACGCTTAGATCGTTTAAACTAAGCAACGGATTTTAATGCAGTTTTCACCAATAGAGAGAATGATTCAAGAGGCAGGTGTTTATATGAATAATACATGCCTATTGTGGTAGAGAAAATCCGAGAATTTAAATAGACCCATCTAATGGGGATGAAAGTTTGTATGAGACTTCCGCAAATTTGAAGTATACATTTACAGGGACCTACCTTTTAATTTGCCGAATCAAGAAAACCAAACAAGGGCAGCAGTCCCGGGCGGCAGTTTTAGGGGGCGCCAAAATCATAATACAGTATGATTAAAAATAAAAACCTTGCTCCACAAAGCGCCTACCATACGTAACCCTGGTCGGCTCACCGTCGGCTCGTAGGCAAAAGGCGCTACACGGGCCCAAACTGTGAATTTTCATATTGTGAGTTTTTTTAAGTAGTTTATCTCAAACGCCGGAGAGAGGTGCGTCGCAATTAATTTTCTGGCCCGGTTCGGAAAGATCGTAGATCCGGGGCCGAGTACATGACAAAAAGAAGATACGTAATATCAGTACTCGACTAGTTATCAGGTAATGCGACCTGGGGGTCTCGTGTGTAGGGTATAAGAGCGGGGGGGAAGGGGCTATAGTAGTATGATGTTAGAACAAACCGTCTTTGGGGATATTAATTAGTCTAATATAAGTGAGTAGGCGGTACCGGCGAGCGCGGGTGGCGGTGCGTGCGGCAGGTCGGCGCGCAGGATGGTGCGCAGCGTGGTGCGCGGCAGGCGGAGCGCGCGGGCGCGGGCGCGCACGGACAGGCCCGGCGCCGCGCGCACCGACGCCGCCACCTCGGCCGTGCGCGCGAGCCTGGCCAAATCTTTATTTCAGATATGTGGCCCTTCGATATATATTATACGGACGATTACGACTTTTATTTCATACATACCTATTAATCGGTCGGCCCGCTCTGGGAGCGTCGTGAACGCTACCCGTAGAAAACAGTTTACGCTCCCACACCACTAATGTGTTCTTGGCTGGAGGCTCGCGGTCAAACCTCTCGCGGAAGTCTCGCTTGATCTGCAACCGTGGTTAGTGATCGCTAAAGAAATATTAGGGAACTATTCGGCTATTTCGGTTTTCGGCCGAACGAACGAAGGATTCGGCCACCGAATAGTTAACCGTGATACAACACCGACAACCAATTTATTGTTTTCACTGTTTTAATAATATTCAGAAACGAGTGCCTTTCATGTGTCATTTCGTAAAGTTTTGGTATTGCTTATGATAATCACATTAAAAGTAATACAATTAACTAAAACTATATTAACATCCAATCTCGATCCAATCACAACAATGTCGACATTACAGGTTTAAACCTATTAACTTCGAAAGCTATTAAGAGTAGCCGAATATTTGGTAGCCAAATATTAAGTATTCGCCAAATCACTACTCGTGTTATCTCTAGTGATTACCGAGTGCATACTATAGCATATTTCTAATGTCCTCTAAACTAAAAAAAATAACACTACTTGCCCATCTTTTCTTATGGAAAGCTACCGCCGCCAGTAGTAGAACCACTCAGAAGTCCAAGGCATTGCTAACTTACCCTGTCCCTTTAAATTTCCATTCATCTTAAACTTCCTTACTAATCTAATTCCTAGTGCCCGGCTGAAGGCTTGCATCCTACTAGGTACGTAAGTGCGATTAAACTTATACTTCCCAAAATGTAGGCTTTTAATACGCTTTTGGTTATTTCTTCTTTGATATAGGTATGGGTGATATATATTATATTAATTATTATTTTTAAATGAGATTTCGATCTAGAAAATTTTATAACATCATTTTTTATTGTGGACAACATTTTATAACGTCAAGCATTTTTTACACTGGCAACTCAGGATGCAAAATTTGACAGATTGTGATTGTAGATAGGAATATAGATTCCATTTATGTAATTTCAATAGATGGTTAAATATGAAGAAGCGAAAATCAGCATGATTACTGACGAGAATACCTTCACACGTAATGTGGGATATGAAATCACCAAAACCTGTAGTAATGGGATAGAGAAAATCCGCCTAATGTGCACCAATCTTCTCACCAATACCGAATTTTTTGTTGAATATGTGGGTGGCAATTCAATTTCATTAATGAAAATTTTACTGCTATCAAATTTTTGATATTGCTTAGCCCAATGTCTGACTACACTGACTGTCTATAGCTCAAAATGGGCGTTTGTGGTACCAATTAGACAGAGCGCCTGCGCATTCAGTGGCGGCTGCCAGGAAGCATCTTTATTAATTATCACATGTTCAGTGAGCAATGGTGCCAAGATCAGCAAGGCTCACACCTTTGGATTTTTTGTTGGGAAGTTTACAACAGACATCACTTCAACAGAAGATTAAAGATAATTAGCTCATTTAGCCGCCAAAGAGAACTTGTGGGCTAAAATACATTAGGAGAGGATACAAAGATTTGAATGGTGCATTAATGTGAACGGTAAACATATTGAAACCTTAAACACTTTAATTGAATAAATGTTCTAAGTAAATTCTAATCAAATGAATAAAAACTGTAATAAATAATTAATGTGTCTTTATTGTATAATAAATTATTTAACCACTCCCCACCTTCCTACCTTAGAGGAACCCTGAAAATTGGGTATAGTTCCAACAGCTATATAATTTAACTGTAATTACTCCCTTACTATTATTAATATACCGTCATTACTTTTACGATAAGTCTGCCTACCTAAACTTCATACCAATTAACCTAAGATGCATTGTTTAACCTGTCATAAGCCCCTGAAAAACATTGGATGTTTAATACTTTACTATGTAAATACCTTTTATGACAGTTGTGGGATTGAAAGTTGATCAGAACTGAATTGAGACCAAACTTTTATAATGAGAATTCTGTTCTTTAGAATGGTCTGTTGTAGCACTGGTCATTAACTGAACTCTATGATTAAGACCTTAATAGTTCTAGTACTCTATATTCACATATATATGTCATGATCACTGTACCATTAGGACTACAGGCATAGAAAATAAATAAGGTAGGTACATGTCTGCACACAATAAAAAACACTAACTTGGCTCATGCTGCTTTTAGTATTTTTTCTCTCATGCACCCAAACGGCCGCTACCAGTCTTTCTTCAATTGTAAAGTTGGACGTGTCAACTCTGCCTTTGTTGGCATTTGCTTTTTTCTTTAGACAATTGGTTGTTGTATGTGTAGCTTGAGGTTCATTTACCTCGGGTTGTATTTCAGTTAAGTTGTGTTGTACGGTTTCACATGATATCTGAGCTACAACTGGGATAGAGGCATGTTTATTATTATCTACATACATCGGACATTGCTGCTGGTAAGCATTTTGGTTGTAGAATTGGTGGGTAGGAAAATGATACATGACTATGTTTTTATTGATAGGGAATAAAGATTAGGGGTTACTAAAATTGTTATTATTAGTTTTAACATTAGCGTTTTAGCTTATTCTTGTAGTAGAAGTCAGTGACAAGTTAACTTTAATACATGAACAACTATTAGCAGCAAAAATCATGTGATAAATATATGCAAGCAGTCCACATTTTATAAACAAACAAACAGCTTTTGCAACTGATTTGATTACTTCACTGACAATACCTGACATTAGGATTTGGCAGATCACTTTTCAGTTTTGTATGTGTTCCACGTTCCATTTATCAAAACGTTAATTATTAAGTTTCAAAGAGTGATAAGCGGATTTCCTAATAAAAGTTTATGTTTACAATATTACGCTTTCACGCGTAAACCTCTAAACCGATTAAGAAATTACACTACATTATATAATGATAGACTACTATAATAATTCAATGCTGAGGCCAACATAGAAATTTGTTTGCATTCAGGCTATTTTCCATTCCATTGTGTTTAAAAGAAACACAAATAAGTACTGTTGCCAGGTACTATTTCATATTTTACATAAAATCTAATGTTAAGTTTTTTAGTTTAATAAAAAAGATTTCAAAGGAAAATCTACAATTGGACAACACTTCACTGGGAGAGCCATGTTTCGGCACAAATGAGCCGGCCCAACATGATTATTACCACGATCTTTTAATGAACAAATGTTAACCAATTCTTTCGTTGCTTTCACCGAGCGAGGGAGGTTGCCAGAGCCCAAATCTCACCTCCGCCTGATTTTAAGGAAGGACTTAAAGGGCAATAACGCACTTGTGACTTGAGTAGAAGGTATCCATGGGTAGGGGCAGTTACTCAATGGTGCGTCGAGCTATGGAGCGCGCACTCCCTTCGGGGGCAGGAAGGGAACATCGGGGTTCCCACAAAGGAGGGGGTCATCTACCCGCTGTAGATGGTCCGAGGCACGTCGGGTTACCAGGGCCTTCCTTTCTAGGGTATATCTGGTTTCCCCGCTACTGGTACCTGGACACGGCGTGCGGTTTTTGGTCGGTTCGAGTCTGACATAATCACCCCACTGGTGGGTGGTATCAGAGGGGAGTTCCGCAAGAAAAAAAAGTTACTTACCATCTGGAGACCCGACTGCTTTTTTGCTCTCCTCTAAAATAAAAAAAGAAAGGCTGTGCCCATGACAGACTGTAAAAATTAAAGACTATGTCTGTATATATTAATTTAATAATATTATATTGCTGTATAAAGTAACATTAAATATTTTTTATCGCATAACCTATTTTACACCAACTACCAACTTCGGATAAGTAATATTGGAAAGTTTTCCGTCACTAAATAATCGTCCTCGAATATTACAGCGATGTTTAACTCGAATTCTGAAAAGAAAATGATAATTTCATTAATTAAAAATACATCTATGAATTGGATTCGGCGACGATACGATGGTAACATTACCTATTTTGAAATTAACGGTGGTGGTGGTGGGGCAGGTGAAGAGTCGCGGCAGTACCATGTAGAGAGGTATGTCACGGTTGCGACACACGTCACCATCGCCGATTTGTATGTTCTGGATCTCTGTGGCTGTTAACAAGGGTATCGCTTTAATATTAGCAATCGCAATTTTGTTTTCTAACAATCATTGATTTTGGTTGATTTTGGCCTGCTATGGCTGCTTGAGTCTTCGGGGTTGTTTTAAGTTTTCCTTCTCTTGCTAGTGCTGTTGTCCTGCGTCCTACCTTACATCCAGAAAAAAGATTTGATACTTGAATTAATTTAGAAAATTTACCGTTTTTGGGCAAAAAATAGTGTTTCTAAAGAAAATTAAAATGTATCCAATAAATGAGTACCAACCATCTTTAGAATAGCCTTCAGCGCAACCGCAGGTCTCGACGCGCACCAGTTGAAGCTCTATTGATCTTATGGGAACACTACATTCGTCTACACGTATCTGTGAAAATAATGTATGCTCATCAGTTGTTACCGTCTCACAAAGTCGTCGCATGTCAAACATCTGCAATCATTTCTGATTGTCGTGCATAATTTTTAAAGATGATTTCTATTGTTTTACAGATTGCCAGAGACAAATTCGTCTTAAACGTCACAAAAGAAGTTATGTTTTTAAGCATGAAGGGTTTTCAATCCAAACTATTCAGTAACAAAAATGTATGTTTTAATAATAAGTTAGTGAATAATAAGTTGGCACTTTTTTTTTCAATTTTGTTTTTTGTATTATTAGCATACTATTTTTTCCCCACCTTCCCAGTGAGCGGCTTATCGAGTGCACAGACAGTGGAGTCGATTTCCGCGTATATCTGGAACTGAGGCATTGGTGCACGGGATGCAGCCGCACTCGAAGCGCGTATCGTGGCTGGGTTGATCTCACAACGAACTGGCTTCAAGGGAGCTGGGTCTTGCTGTGCAAAACAAAGGTTGTCACATTATTGGCCTGACTGGCCTGTTGGTCTGGTGGTTAGTGACCCTCATTGCTACGCCAGAGGCCGTGGTTTCGATTCCCATTCAGGACAAATAATTGTGAGATGAGCACTGTCATTTGTTCTGTGTCTGGGTGTACTTTATCTATAAATATGTATGTATGTTTATTTAGAAATATATAAGTATGTTTATCAGCAGTCTGGTTACCATAGTACAGGCTCTGCCTAGTTTGGGATCAGATAGAAGTGTGTAAAATGTGTGAAAGTATTATTATTATTGACTAGTATACCATGACTAATTAAGTGATTTGTTACAAACAATTCTTTTTTCAAAAAATTATTTATACTGGTGTCAATGGTCATTTATGTTATTAGTCAGACAAAAAGCTTGTGTATATAGATAAGTTTCAGTGGGATGGATATAATATGTAATATTACGATCAAACGGCTCCGATTTGAGCAGAAATCTGTCTCCTATCTTCTGTTTTTATTTATGCCTTTTTGGTAAATATAGTATCATCATCAACAGCCTTTACTGACTAGTAAAGACTGTTGATGATATGTCATGATGATATGATATGATATGTCTATGTGTGAGTCCACTGCTGGACATAGACCTCTCCTCAGAAAGGAGGTTTTGGGCCTACTATACCACACTCTTTGCAGTGTTATAGTTCTGCGTAGTTTACTCCCTTAGTCGGCTCTTACGACACCCTCGGGATGAATAGGAATGGTGATACTCTGTATTCTTAATCTGTCACCACAGCATGCTATACTAAACTATTGAAGCCTTTCAGACAAATAAGGCTCAGGGTTAGGGCACTTACCAGAGATGGCCTGCATTAATCTGTTAACCCCAGCATATTAGCATTACTCACTTGGATATGGCAATTCTTCCTGCCTTAGTTGTAATATACAAATAAATATATACTACTGAAGTCTCAAGTTAATGTCAGTAACTTACATGTTTGTACTGCACGAAGACCTGACAACTTGTGTTGAGGGGCTTATTAAGGAAGGATCTTTTCATGCTACACTTAAGGTTGTACATAATGTTCACAAAAACTCCGTGATATGTCTCCAGTAGACCAGGGTACCCTGGAGAAACTGCTTGTCTGGCACGTAGAGGCATCTCGAATGGAATCTCTGTTACACCTGGTGGTATCTTGCCTGGAGGGGCCAGCTCAATGTTTGTGCTTATTAAATTTATTGGCTGCAATTAAAATATTGATTTAACTTAATATGAGAAGAACCATGATACTCTGAGGCATTAAGTTTAATAAACGATCACCAATAGTTTCTCTCTAACTCAGTATTTTGTTTTAAGTTTTTGTTAAAAATCAAGTGCAGCATGGTAGGTTGGTTTTGATTATTTTTATAACTTGTGTAATGTGTGTAACAATTGGCAGAACTGAAACTCAAATATTAAAATATTATAGGTAATGCTCTAATAAATTACTCATTAACTTTTTTTTGTATTACAGATACTTTTTACCAAATAATTAATATTTTTTCAACTTGAGGTTATGGCACACACCTGATTAAAGTTCAAAGTATTCTATCAGCCACGTCTTCCTAGTACAAACTCTGCTTATTTTGAAACTAGATGCCGTTGTGTGTCAGATGTCCGAAACTATTAATATTTTTTTAAACATTCCTTAGTAATGTGGGCTTACAGTGGCTTGAAATTATTACAAGTAATTTTTTAAATATATATTTAATGTAGCATTAGTAGATACTCAAAATACCTACTTTGATACTGTTGGAAAATGCTTCAAAGATGCCGACATTCTTGCTGCTGAGTTGTAAATTTACCATCCCTTCCAAAGTGAGGGTTAGCCCCTCGTGCCTCACTTCACTGTTGCTTTCTACCACGGCCACACCGGCTATCGTTTCCTGAAGATATACACCTTTACATTACTTTTTGTAACAAAGACGTTGTTATTAATTAAAATCGCAGTATATAGGACCGTGTAGATACATCTTAAGTTTTTAGGTCTAAGTATAGAAGAAATTTTAGTGTTTGATAAAATGTTGGGAAAATAAATGAAATTAAATGAAAACACATACTCCTTCATGGTAAACTTTACTGACTCTTTTCAGTATGATAGTTAAATTTGTAGCCATACTGTATGATATATTGCACTTCAATTCCTACTTGGGATTCCTTTTCTCTAAGCTTTTCAACATTTAGCATTGATTATCGTTTGGAAATATTTTTTTCAATACTTCGAAAATGTATAAATAAATAAAGTAGTAAGGAAATAGAGGTACTCATATGATTATTATGACAGAAGTGGTCAAGATCAACGACCGACAGATTTATAGTGTTTTATCTATGACCGACAGCTACATTCATTTTAATTGATAAATACGTTTAGTTCCTATTGGCACATTCACATTACTATTTTTAAAGGTGTAACGATCACACGATAAAATTGATCTTTCTACTAATGTGAATCAGTAAGAAAAATGTGTTCATTTTTAAAAGTAGAAGTATAAAATACTATAAAATAATAATTCAATTCTTTAAAAAATTCAAAACTTAATTGAAGTCATCGTTTTTGAATACTTTCATAAGGCAACTCTTTCCAACCTGTCAAAATTTGTTTGTGCATTTTTGACAGCTCTGGTATCATAGAAACTGTACAAAGGGCATTCCATAATAAGCTTAACGTGGAATTACATATTCAATAATTTCAACCTTATGCAATAGAAATAAAGTTTATTATGACAATTTTGTATTTAGGTATCAGTGTTCTATTTTATGTAGCAAAATATGAATATGACGCAGGAACTCGTTTTCTCTGACATGCGCAGCGGGAAAATAAAGTCAAATCAAATGGAATCAGTTGAAAAGTAATACCCGCTGGTAGCGGACGGTAGTGAAACGTCTCGTTGAATAAGAAATTTACGATTTTTATTTATTTTGTTACGGTTCTTAATATTTAAAATCGTGTTGTTCTGGTTATTCTTTATATTGTGCATTTGGTTATTTGCTGTTTAGTTATTGTTTTGTACGGCATATACTCGGAACAGGTGATTCCGATAAGGGCTCCCCGAATGGATCGATATCGGTGACTTTGAAGCTTGGGCAGGAATTACGCAAAGAAAGGGGTTGTTTTACCATGGAGAAATCGGCTCGGCCACGGACGGCTCTTAACGAGTGCGTCAAGGTGGTGGTTCGATGTCGACCGCTCGCCGAGAAGGAGAAAAACGAGGGTTTCGATGAGGTAGGCAGAAGTTGATTACTCGTTGTTTATGTCGGACGCCAGGCTGCGCAGACTTGGTGCGTCGACTCCCCTCGGTGACTGAACTATAGGGCAATTATCTGTAGATATTCTATAATTTGAAAATAGAGTCAGCAGGCGGTTTTGTTATTAAATACGATGTCGCGAACGTACCTGGCTGTTCGATAATATCATTATATTAGTTAATTCTAAGTTATTCATTATAATATTTTAGTTAGTTAGAAAAAAGGTGGTAATCATGAATCAAACGCGTAGGCTTGCACTCCATGCAAAACTTACGCCTATACAACAAGGAGTACAAAATCTGCAGTCCCTTCACACAATGAGACTCATTAATAAATTATACATAAGACATAGAACATGTAATCAGCTGATTATTATATCAGTAGTTGCCTTCATACACAATATAGATTATGATAATATTATCACACTACCTTCATTTTTCTTTATTACTGTTCCACAGATAAAATATGAGATTTCTAGTGAAGTAATTCCTTTATTATAAATTATTATTTGAACCTGTCTAACTGGTTTAGTTTAACCATGATGCATTAAGATAATAATAAATAGCTAATGTTATCTAATTATAATAATTGATGTATTCCTATTCAACTTGTATATGATTCATAAATGTTCATAATAATGGCTACTATTTGGTCATTTAGTGAAAATTCTTTTCAAAGATGTTTTTATATAGATTTTTATGAAATTATATGTAACTCTTTATTATATTTCTTTTAAGAATACCCAATTGAGATAGCAGCCTGAGCTTTGTGTCCAGGTTCTTTTGCGTTTATATTAGGGTAGCCTATGTTTGCAATGTTAGTTTATTGTGTACTTTCATCATTAACACTCAGTTGTTAGACTTAGGTTTATAATTAGGATTATCAACCCCTTATATGTAAGGGGTCTGAATAGCCAAGAAAAAAAATGGAAGTAAAACATACAGGTACATCCTAAATCCTGGCACTTCTCTCTTTGTTCTCTGCTCATATTTCATTTTGCCACCCTTTAAATATAAAAAAAAAACATTCTAAAGAATAATTCATTCCATGCATATAAACAATGCCAAAAAAAACTATTAATATCATTATACAATACACAAAGTAGTAATTTCTAGGTTTTAATTTAAATAAAAACAGAAAAAAATATTATGAAATTACAACATACTTTCAGTATTTAAACATTTTTTTCCTGATATTTAAAAACAAATACCTTGGACTTCTGTGTATTATTAAATTTTCACTTTTTAGTATATTTTTATTAGTATTAATAAAATCGTAAATTAAAAAAAAATGTTATCAAATGTGGCAAGTCACTAACCATTATAATTTAAAAAAATTAAAGTTGCTCTGGTGTAGCAACTTTTGTCTTTCAGTTTGTCTAAATACAAAGAGACTCCACAGAACATTATTTAAGACTTTAAAGCCATTAAGGCTTACTTAAGATCTACAAGACTATATATTGATATAAACTATGACTTATCTACAAATAGACAGACAATGGAAAAAAGAGAACAAAAAATAAATAAGAAAGAGATAGACTATACACCAGTGACTGTCGTTAATCACACTTCACTCTTGAATTCTTCTTCTTGAAGACTCTTCTTCTTCTCAGCTGAAATACGGGCACTGCTAGACATAGGCCTCCAAGTTTTGCCACTGCTGCTGCTGCTCGTATCCAACGTTTTCCCGCGAGCTTCAACAGACCACCTTTTGGGGACATACCCACACTCCGTCTTCTAGTACACGGTCGCCACTGGAGAACACTTTGGCTCCATCGTCCATCATTTCTGCGAGCACTGTGCCCCGCCCACTAGCACCTAAGTTTTGTAATTCTCCGGGCAATATCAGTGACCTTGGTTCGTCTGCGGATCCCCTCATTCCTGATTCAAGCACGCAGAAAAACTCTGAGCATTGCCCTCTCCATTTCTCTTTGAGTGAATTTGAGCCTTATCTGGCTCATTGTGAGCGAAGACTCTGCTCCCTGTAAACTTGTTAATTTCCCACAAACTTAAGTTTTTAAGGGAAATAATCAGACGGGTTACTGGATGGAAGTGACTACCGCCGTCCGTTCACACTCAGGAGTCACAAGTGCGTTGCCTCCCCTTTGAGTCCTCCTCCCCACAAAATCAGGAGGGAGTGTTTGGGCTGATCGAATGAATTGCTAAGCCACGGGCTTTCTGGGAGGCCGTGCTAACACTCCGGTCGAGCCATCCCATTTGTGCCAAAACATATCTCTCCCACGGCGAATACATTTTAAATAGGCCACTTTTGTTCTGTAGGTGCTAGTTATAATAATTTATTTTTTTCCAACGTAATCACATCACACATCAACAACTTTAAATATTCCACTGCTGGATTTAGGCCTCTCCTTGGAAAGGAGGTTTGGCCCACTAAACCACGCTGGCCATTCGGGTTGGCATGGGGTTTATTTCAAGTTTCCCTTCTATTAGCAGTGTTGTCCTGCGTAGTTTGCTCCGTTAGTCGGTTTTTACGACACCCACGGGATGAATAGATCCATATTCATCCCGTGGGTGACACTCCGTATTCTTAATCCGTCACCACACGAATTATTCAAATAATATAATACTAAAGTTATTCATAGATATGTAGCCCTTTTGAGTAATGTCTCAATCCATATATTTAGCAAGCTGCGACCAACAAAATAGAAGTGTATTTTGCATACACTTAACATAGTAATATTTATTATTTGTAAAAACATTTCCTAGTGTCGTAATCTCTAACAAAAGTCAGCTCTAAACACCAGCAGTCAAGACAGAACTTAATTTTAAAGAATATATTTCTTCAAGCAAATATTTCTTTAACACAAATGTCAATAGTTAATGGTGGTAAATTACTATGTATGCAGCGCTTTCTTTAAAACACCGGCATCGCCAGTAATATGCAAAAACTCCGACTTCATGTTAACAATCAGCAACAGAAGTAAAAAAATACTTCTATCTCGAAAAAACTTAGCTACTTTAACGCACAGTTCGGAAATGTTTTTTCTTTGCAGTCGGCAGAGTACGCCGATTTCGGCCGTAGTGAATACTGCGTTCAACAGCTGCTCTAAGATATGGTAGCGCTGCAGCCCATTACGAGATTTAGTTATTGGTAATACAGGCATGAGGTCGTGTGTTCAATTGAATCGATCATAATTTAATATCATATAACCAAATAAAATCTACCTGATCGAAGCCGCTAGCGAAAGCCAGTAAAGTGTGTTTTTATTCCAGCTCGTATGCAGATATTAATGTTTTTATTACCTTATATTTAATATATATTTATTACCTGAACTAATATTTTAGTTATAATTAAGATAATATTCTAAAATTGATGTAACCAATTTAATTATAAAAATGATGAGTCACACACAAATATTTATTACTATGCTGTAATTCTTTCAAAATGTTTTAGTAATAAATATATTGTATAAAATATATATTAACAGACATATTGTTTAGTGTAAAAACAGTTAAGCGATAAAATAATGTAATGTATCGGCGCTTTAACTTAACGTCTGGAAGAATACAAAAATACCAAAAAATATCTTTGTAAAGTTGATATAATATACTTAAAGGAGACTCATCTACCGTTTTCTGCAAGAAATAGTTTTTATATTATCTTACTATTAGAAACGGTAATTTCTCAAAAAACGGTAGATGTCTATCATACAATGAAGCAAACAAATGTCCTAACACAGCTTAGTAGTTCAAAATTGACACCACACTATTTGATTATGATTGACAACTAGCCATAATCCGGACAGAGCTATTAGCTGGCAGGTTATTGAACTATCGTTGCAGTAATAAAACTGGCAGCTAACCCTATCGTATAAGGAACACCTCATATTTCTTACAGAAATTGGTTTTGTACTGAATCATTTTCCAAGACGGTTCACTAACTCTGTTTGACTCATCACAATACTCATACGAGATCTACTCATACGAGATAAGAAGCGTCGATTATAAACAATCCATAAAATAGAAAGAAGTGTGTTCTTATCTCGACTGGTGTTTATAAGAAGTACGTTTCCTATTAACTTGTTTGGGCATTGTTTAAAAACATACATTCGTAAACATCGTAGTGTGCTAACTCCACATACATTGTATGGTGATGAACCTAAGTTAAGCTAAACACTGCTGTTACGTTTTACGAATCACGATTTTATGGTCAATGTTTAAACATTGGACGACAATTCCTCCATAGTAAATCCCCTGGCTATGCTAATATCCACCACAATTCTCGCCTTTATACATACTGTTGCTTTTACCATTTACACACTTATTTTGAGCATGGGTGACTTCATAAAGGTCAGGAAAATGATGATAGAATACGTATATCGATACCACTCTCATGTTTAAGCCATGTTCTAATTCAAACATCAATCAAACAAAGCCTGGAGCTAGGTAAGATCGAAAATGAAAAGAATTCATACATTACTTATACTGCTCTCACGTAAGAATGAATATACATAACAAAGTATATAAATACATTCTTAGAATGATATAAATAAATGTGTGTGTATTCCAGACTTCAGTGAAATAAAGTGACACATCCTCGTACACACGCAAGCCTGCACTAATTCAGCTGCGAGCAGTTTAATGAATGAGGTCGCGACCTGGCTCAAACACGCCTCGAGGAACAAGTTTAGTTTGCATGACAACTCAATCAGATAACACAGATAAACAATATTATTTGGATAACTATAAATATACAGTCTGTGTATCGTGATTTTATTAAAGAGCGTCCTTTCATAATTCTACGTTTTTGTCGAATGATTCAACTGTTGCCAATGCGTTTATTATTAAAAAATAGCAATTGTTTGGAGTTTTATCTTTTCTCCCAAGGGGCAGTATACAACGGGAACAAACAGTCGTTAGGATGTTTGTTCCTTATCCAAAAGATTATTTCCTATGAAGACCTAAACATACATACATTAGACACAAACAAAAAAAACGAGCGAGCTTTGAAGTAGTT